ATGTCATGATATGCTTTATCTTCCTTGATATTCGGCTTGAGCAATATGAAATTCCCGCTTTGTATTGCGTTTCATGTTATATCTATTTAATAAATTCATAATATCACTGTTTTAAAAAATAACTTTCTTGATGCTGCAGTTTTCAGGAGGCGACTCACCGTATACATTCAAATAATGCACAGACATGATAAGTGCAAAGTATGAACATGGAATCGATAGCTATTGGCACGGAGATGATGTAGAATACGCTGATAAACGCAACCAGCATCAAAAGATTGAAATACTTGTCCACATCAAGAACATGTTCTAAACGAAATAGAAATCTGGCCGAGTATGTTTCGTTCGTCGGTAAGAGCGTGTATATTCCGGTAATGACGACCGGTGTCGTACAATAAAAGATCCACGTCATGTAAAGAACAACTGAAATAATAATCTTCTTTCTCACTTTACATTTTACTTAAAAATCACAATAGTTTAACAAAAACAGATAGTCAATATAAAAATTAATAAAAAGATAAATGCAATTTTTATAACAAGTCTGCTCTCTTGATTTATATCTAACTCTCGAAAGTTTGAAAACAATTTGAAGAAAGAGAAAAAAGAGGAAGTAGTCATAACTTTTTAGAAATAATGTAAAAAGAACAGATCGAAATGAGAGAATATAATATTAAAAGCTAAAAATGTATCATATTGCTAAATTTATAATATTTATATGAGATAAATTTTTTTAATTTATAAAGAAAAAACTTACATGCGTATCGTATCGAGAAGGTTTTGCTTTCCTCTGCATAATTCTGTAATATTTCTTTTTCTGGTCCATGTTTTATCTTCCAAGTCTCCTCGATTTCCTCCAAAAACTCTTTCATCTGCAGCTCGAAGAAATCGCTCAATATACAATTACAGAACGCACTGAGTAGCTTCGCATGCGGCAGAATGTAAGGTACAAACTTTGTTATTAGTGTACACACAATTAATGAACTTCATGATGACGAAGCTATTCGCCAGTAATGGCGAAGTATTCTCCATGATGATGTCTTAAATTTGTTATCCCTAGTTATTAATCCCC